CCCCCCCCCCCCCCCATTCTCTGCCTCTGTTCTCACAATCCCCTGAAACACACACAGTCGTCTCAGTGGGTTTGTGGACCTGTGTGCTCTGGTTTAATGACAAATTGGTTCTTCTAATTGGCAGTGAGTGTGTGGTGCTAAAAGAACCATCCAAAGCAGATGGGGAGCTGGATTTTGGACACAGAAAAAAGGGTACATTTCACATCGTAGGATAAAGGGTCCTCTGAACATGTGTAGAGTACATTTTCTCTGGTTACATCTGGCTTTATTGCTGAAAAGAAGTACCAAAGCAAACACAAGCGTGGCTTCTCCACAATTGTGATTCCCTTCCTTTTCTTCCCAAATCCCAAGTTTCACCTTGCCTCCCATTTAAACTTAGAAATACTTAATTTCTTAGTTGTGGCTTTGGCTTTATCTCTCGCTAACATTTTTTGCATCTACCATTCTTATTATTACTTTATTTTACAATCTTACTGTTTTACTGTTACTGCATTTTATGCTGCATTATATGTTCTGATCTGTGGTTAAACAATCATCTTACAGATAGTCCTTGATTTACAGCCATTAATTTAGCAACTGTTCAAAGTTACAACAGCACTGAAAAAATTGATTTACAACCAATCCTCACACTTACAATGGTCACAGCATCTCCATGGTCATGTGATCAAAATTTGGGCACTAGGTAACTGGCATGTATTTATGATGGATGCAGTACCCCAGGATCACGAGAACTTCATTTGTGACCTTCCCAGCCAGTTTCCCACAAATGGAAGAAGCTGGATTTGCTCAACAACAGCTTCATTCACAATTGTTTTGTTTAACAACTGCAGTGATTTGATTAACAACTACTGTTGCTAGAACTACAACTACTGGAATGGTATAGGGTCTCCTGCTTGAGCAGCGGATTGGACTAGAAGACCACACAAGGTCCCTTCCAACTCTGTTATTCTGTTACTATGATTTACTTAATCAATCATTCTTTTAACAATTGGGGAAAAAAGGTTGTAAAATTGGGCATGATTTGCTTGACAACTGCCTTGCTTTTCAGTAGAAATTCAGATACCAAAAGTTGAGTCGACTTACAACAGTTCATTGAGTGACCGTTTAAAGTTACAACAGCACTGAAAAAAGTGACATGACCATTTTTCACACTTACGACCGTTATAGCATCCCCATGGTCATGTGATTTACATTGGGCCACTTGGCGACTGACTCACATTTATGACTCTTGCAGAGTCCTGGGGTCACATGATCCCCTTTTGGGACCTTCTGACAAGCAAAGCCAATGGGGAAGCCAGATTGACTTAACAGCCGTGTTGCTAATTTAAGAACTGCAGTGATTCCCTTAACAAATGTGGTGAGAAAAGCAGTAAAAGGGGGCAAAAATCACTTAACAAATTTCTCAACAACATAAACTTTGAGCTCAATTGTGGTCGTAAGGTGAGGACTACCTGTACTTGTCCCCATTTCCACCAGCCTTTTGCTCTGCTCTACCAAGCTGGAGCCTGTGTATCTGTAGGGTGTGAGTTTCAATTCAAAGAGCGGGCAAATGAGTACTAGAATGTGCAGGATCCTTAGAGGGCTTTAGGAGCATGTGCAGAGGGCATCCTTTAGTGCTCTAATTATAACCAAGGTATTAAAATTCCTTTGCAGACCTCTTTGCGTGGCTGCTATATTGGTCTCTCCATGTTTTATACTCTGAAAAGATTATTTTTACCCATCCAGTTTATTGCTTTGAGCAGCTGGCCAAATCAGTTGCCCAGAGATTGTTTCTAGCAATACATTTTTTCCCCATTAAATGTGCTGCTGGGAAGCTGGGTAACTTCTAGAAGAGTCTCTGGTGAAGTTTCTAAACTGCCTGAAAGGATAGCGGAAGATCATTGGTTTATTTTATGAGGCTGTAACCTTATTTTCATGGGTGTTTGGAAGCAGCAGGCCTTCCAAAGGATCCAAAAGCATGTCAATTTGCACTTCCTCCCTATTTTAGATGCAGTTCATAATGAGAAGGTTTCTTTCAGAATTGTTCCAGTGGCACTTCTCAGCTCGTAGGACTTGGATTCTTCAAGTGCAATGAAAGTTTATGGTTTCAAAAAAACCATAAAATGTAGAAATGCAAAGAAAAATGAAAATGGGGAAGGAAAAGCGAAAGAAGAAAACTATTTGTTTATTTAATTTATATTGCTGCCTATTTTCCCATGGCAACTCGAGACGACTTACACAATGTAAAACCATATTTAAAGCAAAAAAATAAAAATAAAAAACAAAAACTAACAAAAAGAATCAAATAAATTAATAAAGTACAATAGAACAAAATCACCCCCGCCCCGACCACAGTAGCCATTTGATAGGCTCCATCCCTCTCTGGGTTCCCCAGGCCCGCTGGCAGAACCAGGTCTTCTTCAGTGCCTTCCGGAAGAGTGCTAGAGTGGGGGCCATTCTAATCTCGGGGGGGATGATGTTCCAGAGAGAGGGAGCCACCACGGAGAAGGCCCTTCTTCTGGGTCCCACCAGGTATATCTCCCTCAGGGATGGGAGCCGCAATATTCCCTAATTAAGGAGAGAAGCAACCTACAACTAAGGAGAAGTTTCCTGACAGTGAGAACAATTAATTAGTGGAACACCTTGCCTCCCTAAGTTGTGGGTGCTCCATCACTGGAGGTTTTGAAGAAGAGATTGGACAACCATTTGTCTGAAATGGTATAGGGTTTCCTGCTGGAGCAGGGGGATGGACTAGAAAACCTCCAAGGTCCCTTTCCAAACTCTGTTATTCTGTATAGAATAAAGGGTGAAGGGAAAAAGAAAAAAATATTGACTTCCAGTTCCTTTTGGCTCGGTAGAATAAGGTAATAACATACAACCTCAACTTTTTACTTTTACATAATATATGCTAGCCATTTTTTACAACAACCCTATCTAATCCGCAAAAGCCAAAATCAAAGATTCATTTTTTTCCCACCTCAAGTGCAAAATCCCAAATCAGTTTGCAAGTAGAAATAAAATAAATTGTGTTCTTTTCTTTAATCAAAGAAGTCAATTTAGCCATCTCTGCTGACCCCATCAATTTTTGGAGCCATTTGTCCATTGTGGGAATCAAAGTTTCCTTACAGCATCGAAAGCTCACCTATCCCAGATCCATTTCCTTCTATTATTGCTCCCTCCCATTTCCCTAGGTTGAGAAAAGAGAACGAACCCAGTATTTCTAAACCCCATGCAATTGCTTTTCTTTTGGTGAAAAGGAACTTAACAGGAAAGTCATAATTTATTTCCCTTTTTGCAAGAACAGTGTCCGGAAATGTAGAGGTCTGACTTTGTGGTACCTTTCTCTTTCTCTCTTTATGTTACCCAGAGATAAATCTTGTATTGCTTCTGAAAAATGCCAGATGGAGGAAGTAGGGCAGGATGGGAAGATGGCTTATTAATGACCTGAAATAAAGACACAGGCATCTTTTAAAAATAGAGCCAGGAAACCTGTGTTAGGAGTTTGGTTGCAACAGCTGCCCTCTGTCTTTTGACTAGTGCCTAGATCTGTTTCCTCTTGCACCAGGAAAAGTTACAGGACAGTTCTTGCAAGCAAGATCCTGACACAACTTGATGGTTAGTTTTTAGCAATCCTGGCTAGTGGGAAAGGCAAAGATTGCAGAAAGAGCTCCTGGTCTCCAGGAACAGGCAACCAATCTTTAGGAACCGTGATGTTACATTGTAGTCAGATTTTGGTTCATTATTCATTACTCTGCATAAGAGCAGAAAGTATTGGATTGGTGGAGCTTAAAAATCTGAATGGTGGTTTAAATCTCATTTTCTAGGGAGAGCTGACTCGGTGCTTAGTTTGGCCAGATTTCTTCTTAAAAGAGGCAAAGTTAAACATTCTTGTGCTTATGCTGAAACTTTAGCGGCATTTGGTGGCACTGGGAGTAATTGGAAGCAGGATCTTGGCTAAAAATAAAATGAAATGTTGGAATGGGAATGATTGACTAGATGACGATTAAGGGCCCTGTCTGGATTTGACCCCAAAGCTAATTGCAAGTCCTCAATTTACAGCCATATTTGAGCCAGGAATTGCCATCATTGCAGTTGTTGATCAGACTTGACTTTACAACACTTTTTGTGGTGGTCATTAAGTGAACCCTGCAGTCATTAAGCAAATCCACTATAACTAATGAGTGTTTTTGATCAGAAACTGAAAGTAAATCTTGGAAATCAACAAAAAACATTGAAAATTGCAGTTGTGTGTCTGTGGATACTGTAAATGGCAATAAAATGAGTTGGTTGCCAAGCATCTGAAATGCAAGCACATAACTGGTGTGGCCATTGTAACCTCAAAATTGGGGGAGGGGAGGGAGACCATCATAACTTTAAACAGTTGCTAAGTGAATGGTTGTAAGTCAAGGACTACCTGTAGTGGGATGAGCGACCGTGGACCAGTGGAGTGCAAGTCTCCTTGTGGTTATTTTCTTATGCCCTCGGTTGCCATTTAATATGCAGTAATTTTCAACCTGTCTGGAAGTTGAGTTACGACAACTGGACTTCTTTTCCTATTGGTTCGAATGTTTCTCTGCTTATCCAGGTAGCTTCTTCGGTCTGAGCAAATTAGTTAGGAGAACCCCATATGTGTTCTTCATAGATTGGACAACCATTTAACCAGGATGCGATAAAGACTCCTGCCTTGAGCAGGGGGTTGGACTAAAAGGCCATTGAAGTCCCTTCCAGACCTGAGATTCTATGTTCTATGAAATGGGCTCAGTAAAAAGCTGAGTGGGTGGTCTTAAAAGTCATGTGATTTGATGTCAAAAGTCGGAAGGGGTATCTTAACTATATGTATGGGAAAGAAACTGCTGTGTCAAAGGTGGGAATGAACAATGCTTCTGCTTGTTTTGTTATATATATATGTAACGTCAGGAAAACCTAAAAATAAGTGGAATGCACTGAAGAAAAGTATGTAACAAATCACAAAGAAGGTCAAGCATGATAGTTTCAAGTGTGGCCTTGGTAAGACCACACTTAAATATTGCATCCGTTTTGGTCACCGCATTATAAAAAATGTTGAGACTCTGGAGAGGGTGCAGAAAAGAGCAACAAGGATGATTAGGGGGCTGGAGGCTAAAAGGCACATAATGAACGGTGGCAGGAACTGGGCTTGGCTAGTCTAGTGAAAAGAAGAATGAGGGGAGATAAGAATGAGCAGTCTTCCAATACTTGAGGGGCTGCTACAAAGAAGAGGGGATTAACTTGTTCTCCAAAGCACCAGAAGGCAGAACAAGAAACAATGGGTGGAAACTAACCAAAGAGAGAAGCAACCGGGAACTAAGGAAAAATGTCCTAATACAGTAGTGAGAACAATTAACCAGTGGAATGGCTTACCTTTAGAAGTTGTTGGTCCTTTATCATTGGAGGCTTTTAAAAAGAAATTTGACAACCATTTGTCTAAAATGGTGTAAGGTTTCCGACTTCAGCAGTAGTTGGATTAGAAGACCTCTCAGGTCCCTTCCAACTCTGTTATTCTATGTCCTATGATGGGATGCTAAATAGGGTGTGGAGGGAATGCAGTATATGGAATACCTAGTGCAAACAGTATAAAGTGCCCAGTATGATAGAAGGTTTTGCATCTCGTAGAGAGAAAGAGTGAGAATTAATTGCACAATTATTGAGGGATTGAAGATTAAGATGAACTATGAGATTATTCCACCATGCTTTATTTATCACAGGAGCTGGTTTACTTGAGTTTTTATAGAGGTAGTCCTCAGGTTATGACCATAATGGAGTCTGCCCATTATGGTGCTAAATCATATGTCAGTTGTAAAAAGGGTCACCCGTATGATCAACCCTATTTTATGACATTTTTTTTGCAACAGTCGTTAAGCAAATACAGTTGTAAAGTGACCTCCATAGTTAAGTAAATGCCATGGTCATTAAGCAGAGCAGTTGTTTGCTATGGGCCAGTTTTGCCAAGAATAGGAAGTACGGTAAATTCAGGGTTTTGGCAAAATGTCATAAGACAGGGTCATGTGACCGTGGTTGGGATAGTGCAAATGGCCATAACTGGAGGCTGGTTGCTGAGCACCTGAAATGCTATCCCATACCTGCAGGGGGAGGGGCTGCCCAGTCTTTGCCATAAGTATCTCCCAGGTAGGTCGCTAAATGACAGGCCATAAATCAAAGATTACCTGTAACTCTATCCAGCAGTTTCTGAAATATTCTGAAATATTAGATGACAGTTTCATTATGTCTCCATTTGCTTTCCAAAGTGAGCTTGGAGCGTGTGTGCAGTGGTCTTGGGCATGGCCATGCTTTTGTGCAGTGTCCTCTTTTCCATCCGCTGTGAAGCACTTAGCATCTCGGGTGAGTTTTTTTGTCCCTTGGCTTCCTCCATACCTGATGAAGGGTTGGGCTCCCCTCCCTACCTCAAGAGCTTCCTTTTACTTATTATTCGGTCCTGCTCACTTGTTGAATTCGCTGTTCCTACAAGGAATGGTTAAAAAAAGAGCCCTAAGTACAGATAGTCCTTGACTTACAATAGTTCATTTAGTGACAGCTCAAAGTTACAACGGCACTGAAAAACGTGACTAGTCCCAGAGCGTTAGACCCGGATGGAAGTTCCAGGGATGTTGATGCAGATTTGACATGGGGGAGAACCTCTTGACAGAGCAAGAGCTGTCAATCAGTGAAGGGGTTTACCGTATGGAACAGGGGTCTCCAAACTTGGCAGCTTTAAGACTTGTGGACGTCAGCTCCCAGAATTCCCCAGCCAACTCCCATTTTGGGAGTTGAAGTCCACAAGTCTTAAAGCTGCCAAGTTTGGAGACCCCTGATATAGAGCAACCCGTTGTTGTTGTTTTTTTTCCTTCACTGGAGAATTTTCCCCTTTAATGGAGATTGATTGATTGAAGCTTCTTGGATGAGAAGAACGTTTTCAAAGGAGAAAAACCCACGAAAGTCCAGTTACCTTTTGGAAAAAGTACCTTTGGGACAACAGACCTGGGTGATCGAGAATCTCCATCGACAAAGTCCCTTAGACCAGGGGCCTCCAACCTTGGGCTGCAGCTCCAAACTGGCCGCACAAGCAACAGGCGAGCGTCCTCACACATGCATCTCCACTTAGGCTTGTGCAAACGGAGCTGTGTGCGCTCACCGGCTTTGCGGGCAGAACCATCTCCCTCCCCTCCCCCCCACCGCTGGTCTCCAAAGTCAGAAGGGTTGGGACCATTGCCTTAGACTTTAGGATTCTTCAATCTATGTTCACTACTGTGGGGGACGGGAATCCTCTGTCCCTCCAGATCTTGCTGGACTACAACTCCCAAACCCCTCTTGCCCCAGGTGGCTGAGTTGCTAAGGCTTCTCTTTTATTGCCCTCTGGAGAACTTCCTCATAACTGATTTGCTGCTTTCTTAAGCACCATTGGCAAAAGTCAGATACTCCACAGTGGATCATGGAGATGAGCCCTGTGAATGAAGGGGAGAGGATATCATTGTGTGCTTAGGTGCAGAAATGTATTTCCTGAACCCTGTTGCCTCATAACTACTCATTCTGGACTTTATTCCTCCAGCTTTTTGATTGAAATCATTTCAATTGAGGCAAAATATTATTATTATTATTATTTTTCCCTTGACAGAAAGTCATTATTCTTGCAATCCCCACCGTCTTCTTGACCACTGATTTTCATCCATACAGAAAGAACTCCTTGTTCCCAAGTTGGCTGAATAGCTGAACCTTATACCAGAAACTTGTAATGGGGTATATGAAGATAGATAGATAGAATAGATAGAATACTTTATTGGGCAAGTGTAATTGGACACACAAGGAATTTGTCTTGGTGTAAATACTCTCAGTATACATAAAAGAAAAGATACATTTGTCAGGAGTCAAGAATCATAAGGTACGACACTTAATGATAGTCATAGGGTACAATAAGCAATCAATCATACTAGGAAACAGTCAATATAACTCGTAAGTATACCAGCGACAAAGTTACAGTCATACAGTCACAAGTGGGAGGGGATGGGTGATAAGGAGTGATGAGAAGATTAACAGTAATAGTAGTGCAGAGTTTGAAATAGTTGAACAGGGTTGAGGGAATTATTTGTTTAGCGGAGTGATGGCTTTTGGGGAAAAAACTGTTCTTGTGTCTAGTTGTTCTGGTGTGCGGTGCTCTATAGCGTCGTTTTGAGGGTAGGAGTTGAAACAGTTCATGTCCGGGATGTGAGGCGTCTGTAGATATTTTCACAGCCCTCTTTTTGACTCCTGCTCTATCCAGGTCCTCAATGGAAGGCAGGTTGGTAGCCATTGTTTTTTCTGCAGTCCTAATTATCCTCTGAAGTCTGTGTCTGTCCTGTTGGGTTGCAGAACCAAACCAGAGAGTCATAGAGGTGCAGATGACAGACTCCATCATTCCTCTGTAGAACTGGATCAGCAGCTCCTTGGGCAGTTTGAGCTTCCTGAGTTAGTGCAGAAAGAACATTCTTTGTTCTGCTTTTTTGATGACGTTTTTGATGTTAGGTGTCCATTTTAGGTCATGTGATATAGTAGAACCTAGAAATTTGAAGGTCTCTAGTGTTGACACTGTGTTGTCTAGTATTGTAAGAGCTGGTAGTATGGGACACCTCATAAAAGGGGTCTTTCTTACTCACCTAGAAGCGATTTTTCTTCGTGATGGACAACCCAGTGTGCAGTGATTACAGTTTTGACCTAATTGGCTTCCTATTGCAGCACAATGAGGCTCTGGGCTAATTAGAAGGAGGATACCTTTTCCCATCTGTTTAGTAATTACTCGCTTCCTTGCCGGCACAAGGAACAGCAGGCACTTTGAGTGGTGCAAATGCTTTCCATGCGCAATGGCTAATCTGGTGCATTCTGCCTCTTTTAGACATGTTCTAATTAGTTTCTTTCTTTCTGGTTTCTTTTTTCCCCCCTCTCTGCCCTACAGGTAGAAAATGTCAAGCTGCTAGATCGTTATACCAACAAGAAATCAGCAAATGGGACACTGTATTTGACGGCTACTCATCTGATCTATGTGGACACCTCAACGGACATTCGAAAAGAGACATGGGTAAGGTTGGAATATGGCAATTTTCCAGACCACTGAGAACCAAACGGTTCTTGTCTCCTGAGCTCTCAGTGCACTTCCATGTTAATAGTACAGGTAGTCCTTGGCTTACGGCTGGCCACTTAGCAACAGTTAAGTTACAACAGATCCTCCTGAAAAGGAGGAGTACAGGTAGTCCTCAACTTAAAACTATTCATTTAGTGACCTTCAAAGTTACAATGGCACTAAAAAAGGCGACTTATGACTGTTTTTCATACTTATGACCACTGCAGAATTCCCATGATCACACAATCAAAATCCAGGTGCTTGGCAACTGGTTCATATTTATGACAGCTGCAATGTCCCAGAGGGTCACATCATCCCCTTTTGCGACCTTCTGGCAAGCAAAGTCAATGGGGAAGCCTGATTCACTTAACAACCATGTTACTCACTTATCAAAATGGAATAATTCACTTAACAACTGTGGCAAAAAGTCATAAAATGGGGCAAATTCACTTAAATGTTTCACTTAGCAACATAAATTTTGGACTCAATTGTGATAACTTGAGGACTACCTGTACTTATGACTCCATTCTGAAGTTTTGATAGCTGTCCCTCCAGGCAGTCACATGACTGCAGCAGCTGGCCCACATTTATGGCTGGGGTCATGTGATCATGATTTACAATGTTTTTGCTGAAAACTGGTGTTTACTTCCGGTTTTTGAAAAAATGCCCCATAGCAAACAATGGGTTCGCTTTACAGTTGTGGTGTTTGCTTTTCAACTGTGATGTTTGCTTAGTGGCCACTGCCCAAAAAGGTTGTAAGAACAGGTCTGGTTATGTGATGACCAGCTTTATGATTGCCACAACTTATGACCATAATGGGCAGGTTTAGTTATAGTTGTAAGTCAAGAACTACCTGTAATGGGTTTAATCTAAGCAATGTGGCTATCCCTAACTGGCTGTTTTATAGATGCTGAAGGTTGCAAATCCCAGCATTAACCAGGTTAAAAATTGCTGCTGTTTGGCCTGTGGCTCATAAACAACATTTGAATCTGGGACCCTTGATGGATCAGACTAATCAAGTTAGTCAACAGACTGTGAAGACCTGGAAATCTATAGCTTGGTTTTCACACATTGTGCTTGGAAATATATTCTGCAGAGTTATTAAACAATTAGACATGCATATCGTATTTTTTTTGAAATGGTTATTAATTAAGGTTGTCCTTGTCAATCTTTTGAGGTAGACCAGACTATTAGAAACCAAAGTTCTGACTGGTAATACTACTTTTATTGTAAGGTTAAATTAACCTCATCTTGCAACTACGAATGTGCCTCCCTTCCTTTATCTCTGAGAGAACAAAGGAAGATCAAGCATGAAATGCTTTCTTAAATTACATTTCTGCCTCAGACTCAAATTTCTTTTATCTGACTGTTGTCTTAGTGGCAGCTCTTCTTCCTGGTCCTCGGGGTCAGTCCTACAGTTATGTTGTTGGTTTGAGCTCTGAGCTTGGCGATTTGGTTGCAGATGTTTTGTCCCCATTTGAGTGCTTGTCTGGCCTTTAAATACCTTCTCTGCAGGCGAAGGTCTCCCAGTGACAAGTGGTATTGAGTGTTGGATGCCAGAAGTTAGTTGAAATGTCTTTGAATATTAGTGGCTCTGGTTGGTAGTTACGTTGTTGGTTGAATCCCTAGGGCTTTGATGGGTGAACCTATGGCATATGCTGGCACGTGAGCTGCAGACAAACTTACATCACTGCGCATACGCGCGGCTCACAGCCATTTTTTGGCCTCCCAGAGGCTTGAGGAAAGCCTTTGCAGGCCAAAAAATAGGCCTGTTTCATCACTTCCTGTATTTCCGGAAATACTGGAAGTGACAAAATGGGTCCATTTTTCGGCCTGCAAAGCCTGCAGAAGCCTTTCCTCAAGCCTCTGGGAGGCTGAAAAAGGCCTCAAACGGGCCGAAAATCAGCTGGGAGGTGCAGTGCAGGTAAGGGGGAGGCCGGGGGGGGGGGGTAATTGCCCGGACATGCCCAGGGGCGTGGGGGGTTGCCTTCTGGGTACTGGCATGTGAGTGTGCAAGCGTGCACACAATGTTTGGCACAGGAGCCCAAAAAGGTTAGCCACCACTGCCCTCAGGTCTGTCAAATTTTTCAGCTTTCAATTTTCAAACATTAGGTCTGCTCAAAGCTGTGACATGCTTTGGGAATTGTAAATATATTTTGGTTACTTTAATATACTTTAGATGTGCTTGGTAAGTAACTACATAAATGTCACAACTTTTTAACATTTTGTTTGTTTCATACATAGCCACAAGCAGACCAATTCCAATCCCCCTTGAATTCTGTTGACCCTTAACTAATTCCAAGCAGGTGCTGACCATTCCTTGAGAACATTGCTGTACAAAGACATAAGTAGCAATCAATCAGTTTAATTGGACTTTCACAGGTGGGTCTGGTCTTCTGTGCCTGATAATGAGATTGCAAACAAAGCCCTGCCTGTTCATAGTGTGTAACGCACATGGAGAAAAAAAACCAGATGGAGCTTTGATTGTTACCCTGAGGGTCACCATCTTGTGACCAGAGTTTGCGTGCTCTCCTGTTCCTATCAGTTAACTGAGATCAGAGCCTACATTTTTAAAGGTTGAGTGATGTGTTTAGCCAAAGTATCATTGACAAGCTGGCCTAAAGATGCGATAGGCATAGAGGTCATTGTTCAACCTTCATTTTCACCCCTGCATGAATCCTGCTGTGCTGAGGTCATTTAGTGAAAAGGAAAATATAAAAGCAGCCAAAACAAAGTCTCCTCCCAACCACCTGAACTTTCCTCTTAACTTGGCTGACCACAAGTTCTCCATTCTTAGCTTCCTAAGCGGTTAAGAAGATCAACTTCTCCAAAACGGCCATTGAATTGAACTGGCATCCTTAAGAGACTCTGGTATCAGGCTACGAAACCAGAACTGCCACTTCCCATGTGGTTTCCATGCTGTATGCAAAGCTGGAGCGTCCTCCCCAGAGCAGGAGGCCTGAGTAATTTAATATGGAGGATAAACGGTTACCCAAGCAGCAGGTCCCCCCTCTCCATGTCACTGAAACAGTCTAATGGAAGAGCAGAGGCGATAGGATTAGTTCCAGCTGCGTCGCAGGAGTTAACAGACCGTGATCATACACAGTCACAAAATGCTTCCAGGACTCTGGCTCCAGATTTTGCCTCCTGAAACCTTTTCTAAGAATAGATATAGCCACAAGGCAGGTTTGGAGGTTTGAAATCAGAGTTTCCCTTCGCCTAGAACAGGGGTGGCTAACCTTTTTGGGCCACTGTGCCAAAAATTGCATGCGTGCAAGTGCACATGCACTTGTGTGTCAGCACCCAGAATGCAATGCACGACCCCCTTCCCCATGCCCCCTGCGCATGCACGCGCAACACCCCCCCCCCCCCGCCACCCCCTTACCTGCAGTGCGCCTCACAGCTTATTTTTCAGCTGCTTTGAGGTCTTTTTTGGCCTCCCAGAGGCTTGGAAAAAGCTTCTGCAAGGCTTTTCAGGATGAATTATAGGTCCGTTTTGTCACTTCCTGTAATACTGGAAATGACGGAACGGGCCCATAATTTGGCCTGAAAAGCCTTGCAGAAGCTTTTTCCCAGCCTTTGGGAGGCCGAAAAAGACCTCAAACCAACCGAAAAAAAATCAGGTGTGAGGCACACACATGCGCAGTGAGGTAAGTTTGCCTGCGGCTCTCATGCCAGCACAAGTGGCTCTGCGTGGCACTTGTGGCATGCGTGCCATAGGTTTGTCATCCCGGTCCTAGAAGATGGTTCTACCGTTTTACGTGCCGTTGCGGCATAGAGCCCTCTTCCGCCTTCAAAGCTGTTAACCATCTTCTCCTGTAACCCTGGAAAGGGGCTCTTATGAGGCACTACCAGCTGGGCCAGCTGGACCAGCTGGACCAAGGTTTTTTAAGGAGCTATTACTCCTCTGGTACTCCTCGTCACTCCAGGACGTCCAGTTCGGCTTCATTTTCAGTGTCCATTATCTTCCAAAGCCTGCATAAGCCTCACTCAACACATTATCTTAGATTGCATTCCTGCTTTAAAATGGAGGCATTTTAATACACAGTGCCGAGTCTGTGGGATACGGCAGCTTTGGCAGTGAGAATTCACCTAGGAGAAATCAGATTGGCAGCCACTTTCACGCTCACTTCCCGTTCTCCATCAAATCCATTGTTAGTGCTGCCTCTTCAGTGTTCAGTCCCTGCAAGCCATTTTTTTCACAGGTAGATATGGGTACAGGTAGTCCTCGACTTATAGCCATTCATTTAATGACCGTTCAAAGTTCCAATGGCACTGAAAGAAATAACTCATTATAGTTTTCCCACCGTTATGACTGTTGCAGCATCCCCACAGACACGTGATCAAAATTTGGATGCTTGGCAACCGTCCCATATTTGTGGAGGTTGCAGTGTTCCAGAGTCCTGTGATCCCCTTTTGTGACGTGAGAAGCAAAAGGCAGTGGGGGAAACAGATTAATTTAACAACCATGTTATTACCCTAACAACTCTCATGGATCACTTAACTGTGGTAAACAAGGTTGTAAAAGGGGGCAAAATTCACTGGACGCCTGCCTTGCTTAGCAACAGAAATTTTGGGCTCAATTGTGGTCATAAGTTGAGGACCACCTGTATTGATTTTTGCTATTTTAGCCACGGGAAGGTTCCTAGTTGACCCCCACACACACATTACTACCCACATTTTCTTCTTTCCTCCAGGTCCTCCATCACCACATAGCTACTGTGGAGAAGCTACCACTGACCGCGTCTGGCTGCCAGCTGCAAATTCGTTGCAAGAATTTCCGTGTGGCTCGTTTTCTGATGGTGCAAGAACGAGATTGCCACGAAGTCTACACCTCTTTGCTGAAGCTCTCGCAACCAGGTGCGTGTGATGCACAGTCCGTTTGCTTCCCATTCCAGGGCTGCTGTGTGGTAAGCAGAGCCTGTTTTCCCCGAGTTTAAAATGCCTCTTTCCCTGGGGAGGAGAACATTTTCCCAGGCCCTGCGGGAAGAAGAGTAGCTCAGTTGCTTTGGGTTTTCTCCTAAGAAGATGTTAGCAGGATTCAAGGATTCTTTGTGTTGGATGCTGGGACACTGGAGCATTAGGGCGGAAAACTAGGCACAAGAGTAGATGGAAGAGAAAAAGGCCTCTTTTATTAATATTTCATTTTATTATTAAAAGTTATACTGAAGGTACTGGCCTAGAAACCAGGAGACTGTGAATTGTAGTCCCACCTCAGGCATGAAAGCCGGTTCGGTGACTTTGGACCAATCACCAGGAGATGGTGAGTTCTAGTCTAGCCATAGGTATGAAAGCCAGCTGGATGACCTCGGGCCAGCCACTCCGTCTCTCAGCCCAGTTCACTTCACAGGGTGGTTGTTGTGGGGAAAACAAGAGGAGGAAAGAGTGTTAGTTGTGTTTGCTGCCTTGAATTAATTATAAGGTAGTAGTAGATGACATAAAAATCCAGTAAATAAATATCACGATGTGAAGCAGTGCAGGTAGTTTTCCATAAGATGCTACTTCTCTGGGCCTGGGATAAAAGATCGGCATTGGGCACGGGTAGAGTGTTTATCATCTGCAGAGTGAACCAAGGCATTTCAGCTTCAATGGCTGTAGCATGGGTTGGATTTTAATACTGTCATCATATTTTCCATGGATCCAAACCCAATCAATGTTGGGTTTGAGCTGCCTGTTAGATTTTAAACCAAGTCAATTAGTTGCCCTCTGGAGCCTTGCTTATATGCCCTGGGAGCGGTCTCTGCCCATCCTTGGAGGTTCCCATATACAGTGGAACCTCCGGTCACGACTGTAATTGGTGCTGTAACTTCGGTCACAACCCGATTTGGTCATGACCGGAAGTGAGGCTGTCTGCGCATGCGCCTACAAAAAAAACGGCGCAGAAAGGGAATCTGCCGCGCCCGTGTTTGTTCGCCACCCGATTTTTGAACTGTGACCCGATTCAAAAATGATGTGGATTTTTTTGGTCGGACCCAATTTGGGCGCGGTCAGAAGTGTTTGTGACCAGAGAGAGGTTCCACTGTAGTATTTTAAATCCTTGAAAACGGCATTTCCAAAACTCTTAATGCTGCTCAGTAGGAGAAAAAGGAAGGCCCTCAATGCCAGAAAGAAAACCAGTAAGTCATGCTCTTGATAATGGTCTTCATTTTGCATCACTGTCCCCTGTGACTAAAAATGTTTCCTGTGGTCCTTAGCTACCAATAGCTTCCCCCTGTATGCCTTGTGCATCCTTTTTTGGGGAAAAGAAATTGAAAACTTCTTGCCTGTCTTAGCTAAGTGTAATCTTTTCTTTTGTCTAGCTTGCCTTCCCTCAGTGCTCTTCTGATTCAGCTTTTCCAAAAAACTCCACTGAATCTTTTGTCAGCCAAACACCGAATCCCTCATTATTTGCTAGCAGTTGATTGACAGCTGAGGATTACCTGTTAGGTACATGGTCTCCTTCATTCAATTCTTTCTCCTTAAGCGCTTTCTGCTGGGAGAATTGGCACGGGTGATTGCAGTTTTCAGAAAGGACCAGAGACCATCAGAATCCCAAAGTTATCACAAGGTTTGATTGCAATCCCAGAAACTATAAAGTGTGCTTCCCCTGTCTTGTTCAGTTTTCCAGTCTCATCAGCCAGAAAAGTTTTTAAAAGTATCTATTCAGAAAGGATTGCAAAGAGTGTCTCAAGTCCAATCTAATTGCAACCTAGGTTGCATTAACAGAGGGATAAAATCAAGATCACGTGAAGCATTAGTACTGCTTTATAAAGCCTTAGTAAGACCACACATAGAATACTGCATCCAGTTTTGATCCCCATGTTATAGAAAAGATATAGAGGCTCTGGAAAGAGTGCAGAAAAGAGCAACAAAGATGATTAGGGGATGGAGGTTAAAACTAATGAAAAACAGTTGCAGGAATTGGGTATGTTTAGGGAAACGAAGGACTGGAATGACAGGATAGCAGTTTGAGGAGCTGCCATAAAGAAAAGGGGGGTCAACTGATTTTCCAAACCACCAGGAGGCAAGACAAGAAACAACGGGTGGAAACTAATCAAACAGAGAAGCAACCTAAGAAGTAAGGAGAAAGTGGAAAGGCTTGCCTTCAGAAGTTTGGGTGCTCCACCACGGGAGGATTTTAAGAAGAGACTGGACAGCTACTTGTATGGAATGGTATAGGGTCTCCTACTTGGGCAGGGAGTTGGACTAGAAACTTAGTGGGACGAAGCCCATGATTGAAACATACTGATAGAAGGACACAAAAAAACCAGACCTCATAAAAGAGGAGGTGGAGTTGCACTGTATGTAAAGGACCACTATATTGCAGAAATGCACGAAACCAAAGACGAAAAGCTCCTAGAACAGGGGTCACCAACCTTTTGGACCTCAGGGATCACCAAACTCATAATTTTAAATCCCAGGGATCACTAACTGGTTCTGTGGGCATGGCCTAATTTGTGGGTGTGGCTTGGTGGTCATATGCTGGGCATGGCTTGTATGTAAATATAAATATTTATAAATATTTATATAAATATTGAACTTTTTAGAGCAACTTTTACCCAAAATCAGGCAAAGCAGGCAGGCAGATTGAGTTGCTCACAGAATCACAGATTCATTCAGAGATCTGTGTATCTGCCATCAGCTAGCTCAGACTGTCACATAAAATTTGCTTGCAAGCAAACTCACAAAATTAACTCACAACACACCATGTATTGATTATATTGATTATTGCTTATTGATTAATATTGATTATTTTTTTTATAAATAAAGAGCAACTTTTACCTAAAATCAGGCAAAGCAGGCAGGCAGATTGAGTTGTTCATAGAATCATTAAGTGATCTATCTATCTGCCATCGGCTAGCTCAGTCTCTCAAATTTGCTTGCTGTGAGTCTGCACTGAATAATAGAACCTTCAGTCCTAAGGGAGGTTCGGCTGTGCTAAAAAGAGCCGAAGATCTAAAGACTAGCTAGAAAGCAAGAAATCCAACCATTTCCTGCTTCCTAGCTAATCTAAATCTCCCGGCACAGCAGAACAGATGATGGTCGGAAAAAAGAAAAATAGCAACTTAGCAGACAAGTTTTACAGGGTAAGGAGTGAGTGGGTGGGGAAGGTTCCCACGGGCCATGTGGGCGGCGCAGCCTTGTGTTTCTGCACGGCCTGGATTAATTGCTTTTGGGGGGTGCTCTGGGGGTGACATTTTTCTGCAGCCCACCAAAATTTTCTCACATCCCACCAGTGGGCTGCGGCCCACCGGTTGATGACCGCTGTCCTAGAATGCATATGGGTCAATATAAAAGAAAAAAAGAATGACGTTGGCATAGGTGTGTATAACAGGCCCCCCAATCAAGCAGAAAACATAGATGCACTTTTTGCTAACCAACTAACAAATGAAGGAAACACAGTAAAGTAGTAATGGGGGACTTCAATTACCCTGATATCAATTGGAAGACTTGACTTCTCACCATGAGAAATCAAATAGGTTCCTAACCAACCTAGCTGACAACTTTGTTGTCCAAAAGGTAGAGGGTGAAACTAGAAGGACAGCCATACTGGACTTAATTCTTACAAACAGAGAAGAAGTGATAGAGGGAGTTGAAACTGCAGGAACTTTGGGGAAGAATGACTATGTCATACTAGAATTCAGCATAACACAAACATAAGCAATAGGACATAATGACACCAGAGCAGGGGTGGGATTCTACCAGTTCTGTCCACCTCTGTAGAACTGGTAGATCTGAAGAGCAGCAGACAGAGAGCATACATAGAATCGGTTCTATGTCTGCTGCTGTTTTGGCCCACCCACCCGCCCGTGCTTTTACCTGACCTTTATTTCCTGATTTTTCAACTGCAGCTGCTTTCTGCAACATAGCTGCGGTTGAAAAAGCAGGAAAAAAGTGCTTTTTCAACTGCTGCGCACCCGTGTGCAGCGCTTCTCAGCTGTCCAGGCAGCTAGCTGACAATATACACACACGTGAAGTGCAAAACGTAAAATCACTGAACCGGTAGTTACACCGGTCGGATCCCACCCCTGCACCAGAGTCTTAGATTTTAAAGGAGCTGATTTTAATAAACTCAGAAGGAACATGGGAGAGATTCCTTAGATGAAAATCCTACAGAGGAAAACAACTCAAGAATCTTGGGAAACTCTGAAAAGTACGATCATAAAAGCCCAGACCACCACAATACCACTAAGAAAGAAAACAAGAAATCCAAGAAGAAATCAGCATGGCTACACAAAGATCTCTCTGGCAAATTGAAAGACAAAAAGGACAAGTACAAAAAATGGAAAGAAGGACACATCAAAGAAAATCAAGGAAACAGTTGGTTCACTAGAGAAGACAGCATAGAAGTAACAGGCAGTATAGAGAAAGCAGAGCTGCTTAACTCATTCTTTGCACTGGCCTTCATGCAAAAAGAAACAATAGTCCAACCTACCAAAAATATGACTATAAAAGACAGACTAGAAATAAAAGTTAAAATAAGGAAAAAAATAGAGGATACCTGTCTGATCTTGATGAATACAAATCACCAGGACCTGACGGATTACATCCCAGAGTTCTAAAGGAGCTGGCAGATGTCATCTCAGAACCACTGCACCACATCTTCCAAAAATCCTGGTGCACCGGGGAACTACCAGAGGACTGGAAAAGAGCTGATGTTCCTATCTTCAGAAAAGGAAAGAAAAAAAAACCAGACCCAGGAAACTACAGAACAATCAGTCTAACAGCAATACCTGAGAAGATACTGGAAAAGATAATAAAAAACAGATCTGCCAACAATTAGAAACAAGTAAAGTACTGTATTTTTCGGTGTATAAGATGCACTCCCCCCCCCCCACGCAAAAAAAATGGGTGGAAATGTCTGTGCATCTTATTCAGCAAATGTTGCCAAAGCCCCACCCACCCGCCGGCTCCCACCCTTCGGCCTCTGCCTCCCAGCCATTTGCCTCCTTGCAGCAAACAGCCTGTTTCAGCTTCAGCACAGCCTGATGAGCACAAGCAGCTGGTTGTCAGTTGGATCGGCCTCCTGATGACCAGCTGTTTGAAGTTGCAGGGGTCGCCATCGCCTATTGCCGGCTCTTCGCGTCCCATTTTTGGCCTCTGCATCCCGTTTTTGGCCTCCGCATGCCCCATTTTTGACCCGTTCTGGGTGGCGGGGATTAGAACAGGTGGAAAATGGGACGTGCAGAGGCCAAAACTGGGATGCACAGGCTGAAAATGGGGCATTAGGCAAAAACAACCAAAAGGGCACGTATAGTCTGGGTGAAACCAGGCTCAATAGCAGTAACTGTGAGAGGGATCTTGGAGTCTTAGTGGACAACCAATTAAATAAGAGCCATCAGTGTGCGGCGGCAGTCAAAAAAACCCAATGCAATCCTAAGTTGCATTAACAGAGGAATACAATCAAGATCAAGTGAGGTACTAATACCACTTTATAAAGCCTTAATAAGACCACACCTAAAATATTGTATCCAGTTTTGGTCACCATACTATAAAAAAGATGTTGAGAGTCAAGAAAAAGTACAGAGAAGAGCAAACAAGATGATTAGGGAACTGGAGGCTAAAACATATGAAGAATGATTACAGGCAATGGGCATGCTGGTCTAGGGAAGAGAAGGACCAGGGGAGACATGATAGCAGTGTTCCAATATTTAAGGGGCTGCCACAGAGAGGTGGGGGTGTTCAAGCTATTTTCCAAAGCACCCGAAGGCCAGACAAAGAATAATGGATGGAAACTGATCAAGGAGAGATTCAACCTGGAAATAAGGAGGAATTTTCTGACACTGAGAACAATCAACCAATGAAACAGAAGTTGCCTTTGGAAGTTGTGGGAGCTTCATCACTGGAAGCTTTCAAGACGAGACTGGACTGCTATCTGGACTGCTATCTGTCAGAAATGATGTAGGGTCTCCTGCTTTGGGGGAGGGGTTGGTCTAGATGATCTACAAGGTCCCTCCAACTCTGTTATTCTGTTGTAAGCAACAATATCTTTAAATAACTGTGCATACCAGTAGACATTTTATTGGGTGGGGGCGGGGGGGGGGGAAACTAATAACAAAATGGCTCTTTCTAGTTACATTTGCAATTGCTGAAAGGGTTCTAGTGAATTGTCTTGGGGCTTAGTAACTTCTAGGTTTATTTTTAAATCTGCAGGAAATGTTAGATGCAAATCCAATAAAGTGGAATAGAAATTAAAGGAAGAACTTATTTGTAATATCATTATATGCAGAGGAAATTGTTAAGATTTAGTCTCAAGTGCCCAAATTTTTGCCTTTCAAAATTGCTTTTGTGCTTTAGTGAAACCCGAAGAACTTTACGCCTTCTCTTACAACCCCAAAACGCCTGAAGGCAGCCGAGAAACAGGCTGGAAGTCAGTAGACGTCAGAGCAGATTACCTGCGGATGGGCATTGACAGCAGCTCTTGGGAAATTAGCAATGTCAACCAGGATTACGAGGTGAGCTTGCACCTGCTTTGGGTCTCTGCTATCTAGGCCAGGAGATGCTACAGGGAGTCCTCAACTTAAGGACCATGGTTGAGAACAGAATTTCTGTAGCTAAGAGATGCAGTCATTACGTGAGTCCCATCCAGTTGTACAATTTTTTAATGTGAATTGTGCAGTCATTAATCAAGTCCATCTGCCTCCCCCCTGCCCCCCCCCTTGTCAGAAGCCCACTGGGAAAGTTTCAAATGGCACTTAGGTGACCCTGGGATGCTTCAACCAGCCATCGTAATTACATTCCGGTTGCCTAGCACCCGAATTGCAATCATGTGACTGTGAGGATGCTACAATGGTTGTAAGTGCAATGGTTATAATTGCAACGGTTCTAAGACACTTTTTCAGCACCTTTGTAACTGAATAGTCGCTAAACAAATGGTCATAAGTTGAGGACTACCTGTAATGTGCCTCTGCCAAAACTGTAAGAAAGAGTTTTGCAAGGGAACAGACCATCAGTAAATGACTAAAGATTGTTCTGCCTGTTTCTTCGTCCTAGGTTTGCAGCACCTATTCTCGGGAACTAGTCCTGCCTAAAGTGGCTACTAGGGCGATGATCTTGGGAAGCGCGAAGTTTCGAAGCCGAGGTCGGATACCTGTGCTTTCGTACTTCTACAAAGAGAATAACGTTAGTCATGCTGTGTTTTGTTTTCTGTGGATTTGCTCATTTTTTTCCAGCTTACAACCAGGACAGGACAGGACAGGATAAGATAAGTTTTATTGTCACTTTTTCTTGCTCTCAAAAGTATACACATATACACAGACACTCTTCATTCATACACATGCAGTACATGTACATACATATGCAAATGCGATACAGACACACATATACGTATTAATCACAGACCATTTAGAATACATAGCAGAAAAAAGAGTCTTGGGAGTTGACAAGGTTGATACTATATGGTATAAAGGTATAAAGGCAGAATCTAGTTCTGCTTCCGATACCATGTCCTGGATAGAAGGAAGTCAATTTCCAATAATATTTTCTGCTATCTTCCCAGCCTTCCTGCACAGCCTTCCTCTCAGAAACAGTAATATCTCTAAACCACACAGGAATACAATGCCACAGGATGCTTTCAATCGTCCCTCTATAGAAAGTGGCCCATTTTGAAAACTGTACTTCGTGAGATAGTGTATCTGAGGAGAACATGGAAACAGGCAACATTGTGAGGTAATCCAGATAAGAAGCACACAGAGGAGTCTTATCTTTGCCTTTATTATAGGGTCACATTGACAGAATCTTCAAGTCTGAAAGTTCATCTCCCCCCCTCCAACCTTTACAGTCTAAGAAACTAGGGAGGGTCCCTTCTGAATCATATATCATGCCCACCTTCCTTCTGCAAGCCAAACTGACATTTATCTGACTGTTGCCTAGTCTGCAGCTCTTCTTCCTGTCTCACAGGACCATTTGCACATACCATTGAGGGGTAGAGAAAATCATGGCTTTGAGCAGTTTCTTAGGTAGAAATGATCTGGGTTGGTGGTGAGGTGGAGCTAATATCAGAAGGACTGGTATTGGACAGTTCTTGCTAGCTAGAGTTTCTTCTCTTTGTAGGGGAAGGCTTGTATTTTTATAATATAATTTAAATATGTAATTTTAAATGACAACATTTTGCAGTATTTGAGGAATTTTCCCCCAGACATGGCTTTGCTGAAGCTTTGTGGTTGTTGTTGTGCCTAATGGCTGCATACTACCCAGTTTTGCAATTCCATGGAGACTTACAAAACTTAAAAAGAGTCTTAAACATGAAACTGATATCAAAATTCAGAGTCCTAAAATCTGGGATTTCAGCTAGATTGCAAACATTGGGAAGGAATGTTGGAGACTAAATGAACTGAAGTGGTGCATTTGCTGCTGTACTATTGCAACAGATGAGTCGAATTGAGATGAAAATCATAGGAAGGTGAAGGCAGAAATATTACTTGTCATATCTAACAGGTCTCTGCCCTGCATTGCTGTGGCTCTGATTTAGAAGAGATGCTTGAAATGCCCAGGAGTTTAAATGCAGCGTCTATGACTCAAGCCCAGTTTCTTGTAGTGGTTTAAAGCATTAGGCTAGCAACTGGAGACTATGAATTCTAGTGCTGCCTTAGGGACAAAGCCAGATGGATGACTCTGACCCAGTCATCATCAAACCTGGGAAAAAAAACAGCGGCAAAACACTTCCCAAAAATGTTGCAAGAAGACTGCAGGGGACTACTCCATGCAATTGCCAGGAGTCAGAAAATAATTCGAACACACACACACACACACCAGAGGGGCTCATTAAAGCAGCAGTATCATTTTCTCCATTATTAAAGCAGCTGTAACAAGGTAAAACAGACATGTTCCAAAGTGTCTTTTCTGAATCAAACGTGAAGCATTGCAGAGCTGGATTCAAGGCACTTGCTTGTGTTAAAAACACCATCAGCACTTGGAAGATACCATGTTAGACTGTGTATCTTTTAATACATGCAAGTGTTTGGAATCCAGCTGAGTTCAATGTTCTTTAGGCCATTGGAGTTTGGAGAGGCCGGTTGATTGCTAAAATTTCTGCTGATTGAAACAACTCCCTTCATTGGATCTTAGGGGAATATGTACCATCAAGTTCAATTTTGTGAAGATCTAGGTGGTAACTTTCCATTTAGAACAATCTAAAAGGCATCTTGTGCTTTTTCAATCCTCAAAATGAGTTAAGCAGGGCAGCCTTCAACTAATTACACCTCTCCTAATAGCAGCTTTTTGAACATGAGGGAAATAGCTTGGAGCAGATAATTTCTTTTATTACTTGGCTGATTGAGGGACTGATTCTTAGTGTGGAATAAACTGCTGAGCTGCTAGCTTCATTGTTCCTGTAGTGCTCTCACCTCAAGGCTGGACAAAATGACTTTGCAATGGATTTAAATTTCCGGGAGAAACTTCCCTTTAGCATTGTTTGGTTCACTTGCATTCCTTTCTCAGCTTTTCCCCCATATTGATGGCAAATAAATGGAAGGTGATGAAGCAGCAAAAGAAAGAGAAAAACAAAACAGTCACGTTTTCTTGGAAAAGAGATGACGTGTATGTAGAATTTTATTTGAAGCCTCCCATGATTGGAGAGATGGATTGGGAGATACAGGTAGTATTTATTCTACATGGGACAAACAGGAAGGCAATTGAAAACAAGGGTTCATGAATATCAACTAGCAGTTAAATGGTTTGACAAAAAAAATCCCTGATCTCAATAAACAACACCAGTTTGATTGGGAAGGAACAAAAATAATTGGCCATGCAGTACCCACCACACACATGAATTTATCAGAGCCTGGTATTCTATCCAAGGAGCAATTAAGCATATTGATCTAGATCCAGCATGTGAATATGTAAGAAACCAGACCATGCAAACAGCCAATTAACAAGAGAACCAATCAGCTGCCCAGAATTTAAATATAGGTCCAAATGAACAAACAATCAAATGGCCAACTGACCAAACTGGCACACAAGACATTTATAAGCTAAGGAGAGTAGGACCAGAAAATCCTGCTGATGCTGTTACTTAGTCTGGTAACGAAACATTCAGAAACTAAATTGAAGCATCCTTGGAGAGCAAACCACTGCCAAAATCTAAAAACTGAGCTACCAGTCTTTTCTGTTATTTCAAACATACAGGTAGTCCTCGACTTACAATCACAGTTTTACCCAATTTTACAGTCTTTTTTGCCACAGTTAAGTGAATCCTGCCATCCTTAAGCAAATCTGTCTTCCTCAATTGACTTGGCTTGTCGGAAGCCAGCTGAGAAGGACGCAGATAGTGATCACATGACCCTGGGATGCTGCAGTCATCATAAATACACAATGGTTGCCAAGCACCCAAGTTTTGATCACATGACCATGACAATGCCGCAACAGACATAAGTGTGAAAAATGGCCGTGTTACTTTTTTCGCTGCCATCATAACTTCAAGCGGGTCGCTAAATAAATGGTTGTAAGTCAAGGACTGCCTGTAATTCAATCCAAGGAAGTAAATATATATAGTCTCTCTTTTCAAATTGTACTTCTTTAATCCCAAACCCGTATCTGACCTTCATGCATGCCCACGTCAACATCTCTCGGTAGCCTTGCAATAGTTGCACCCAAATTGAAAAGGAAGAGCAAGGACATCAGTGCTCAGTTCTGAATGTCTCACCTGCTCTACTCTACACATCTTTTGCATTTCAGGCCGCCATCTGCAGATGCAGCCAGCCTTTGTCTGGATTTAGCACTCGCTGCCTGGAAGATGAACAGCTGCTGCAGGCGATTAGGGAAGCCAAGGCAGGGAGTCAGTTCTTATACGTGGTAGACACAAGACCAAAGGTATTTCTCCCCTGGAACCTTGGCTTAATTTACAGGAGGAGTGTCCACCCACAGCAACTTTAAGACCCGTGGACTTCCAGCTCCTAGAATTTCTCAAACGTTAGGGGGCTGCAGGCTAAAGTGTATGATAGTGGGAACTAGGTATGTCTACTCTAATGGCAAGAAATAATGAGTGGAAGATCATGAAAGATAAAAGCAACCTAGAATTAAGGTGAAATTTCCTGACAGTCAGAACAATCAATCAGTGGAATGACTTTCCTCCAGAAGTTCTGATTGCTCCACCACTGGAGGTTTTCAAAAAGAGACTGGACAGCTATTTGTCCAGAATGGGGGAGGGTCTCCTGTTCAAGTAGGAGGTTTGACTAGAAGACCTCAGAAGTGACTCCTTCTTATTTATAGCAGGCTCCCATCCGGAGATCCCTAGAGCCCCAACTTTCGTGGGTTTTAGAAGTGATTTAAGCTTGTTCTTTGAACAGGACCTGGGAACAGATATGCAATTAAGCTTTCTCTCTTGGAATGTGATGCTCTGAATTTAGTTTGATTGCTGTCTGTGGTGTAGAATAGTAAATTTTGTTTCATTTGTATGCATTTTTTATCCTTAGTTGACAGAATAAACTAGGCAAGCTAGCTCTGTTGGGTACAATTGGAGCAGCAGATGTGCCCAGTAATAAATAAACGTTGTTGATTTTTCCTAGTTGAATGCCATGGCCAACCGAGCTGCTGGAAAGGGCTATGAGAATGTGGATAATTATGAATGCATCCGTTTTAAATTCATCGGCATTGAAAACATCCATGTGATGAGGAGCAGCCTGCAGAAACTCCTGGAAGGTAGGATGTGCTTTGTAATACCTGCTTACACAGATCCGGATGGAACTTCTGAATGGAAGACATTAGCAGACTCTGACCGTGTCCTTGGCTTGTTCAGTTTATCTGACTTCTTAGCAGGCTTTGTGCTTTGCAGTAATAAACTATCCACAAAGAAGATATTATTTTTTATTGGGAATATAAATACAGCAAGGTGTATATTGACTGAATCACTTTGGTGTAGCAGTGATGCAATATGCATTATAAATAAATCCTAGTTTGTTACTTAAGTTGTAATACATGTAGTCTTCAACTTACAATCGTAATTGAGCCCCAAATTTTTGTTGCTAAGTGCAACAGTTAAGTGAGTTTTGCCCCATTTTCCGATCTATCTGAATCATATGGTTGTTAAGCAAATCTGGCTTTCCCCAGTGACTTTACTTGTTGGAAGTTGGCTGGGAAGTTTACAATTGGCAATCGTGACCTCAGGACCCTGCAGCTGTCATATATATATGTGTGTCAGTTGCCAAGCATCCAAGTTTTGATCACGTGGCCATAGGGATGCTGCAGCAGTCGTAAGTACGAAAACCGGTCATAACTTTTTCAGTACTGTTATAACTTTAAATGTTCATTAAATGAAGGGTTGTAAGTCAAGGACTGCCTGTACTGTTGGTGAGAGATCACCAAGGGGAATCTTTGTGTGGATTCAGATGTTGTGTTTTATCAGCCTCTGGAAAGCCCTTGGTTGTTACCTCGGCTGTCTCTTTACTGAAACTGGTTCCTCTTCCTTTTTTAGTGTGTGAAGCAAAGTCTCCTTCCATGAGCGACTTTCTTACGGGCCTCGAAAACTCAGGCTGGTTGCGACACATTAAAGCTGTGATGGATGCTGGAGTCTTCCTGGCTAAGGTAAAGCAACTCTGAATTTGCAACATTTTGCAAAATTCCTGGAAAACTTGCATGTTCACCAGTGTGCAGGCTTTCTTGTTTGGGGGGAGTGAAAGCTAGAGCTTTGAAGAAAACCTGGAGAAATGTGTGGTCAGCGGTTTCAAATTTCTCCAGGTTTATCTCCAGAGATGGCTTTGGCTGCACACAGGAGGCAAAGTATTCATCATTATCAGGGTCAATTTGAAATACCTTTTGGATTAGGAGATGCTAGAAGGTCTACTAACCTCCCTGGAGGCAAGATATGTGAGGGGGTGAAAAATCTGGGCTTCTGTATTTTGGGGAGGTTAAAATCTGGGGTCTAAACAGTTGAGGGGACTAGGTATGTCTAGCCAATCGAAGAGAAGAATTAGAAAGGGCGTGATAACTGTCTTCCAGTAGCTGAGAAGCTGTCACAAAGAAGTGGGCATTGATTTATTCTCCAAAGCACACGAGGACAAAAGGACAAGAAGGAATGGGTTATTGTTAATGGCTTATTAAAGATCTCTCTCCAACCTTAAAGGGAGGAGCAATTTCCTGACAGTGGGAGCAATTAATCAGTGGAACAGCTTGCCTCCCGAGTTGTGGGTCCTCCTTCACTAGAGGTTTTCAAGAAAAAAAGGACATTCATTTGTCCAGGATGGTATAAGGACCTTCTGCTTGAGCACTAGAAGGGGGCTAGAAGACTCCCAGCCCTGTGATGCGATGATTCTGACTTGGTCTTAAGGGCTCTTCGCCACAAAGAGAGGACTGCAGATATTAAGGGAGGCGTTTTTGCTTCCATCCCTCCATCAGTACTGAAGTTTTGCCTTCATTCTTTTTTATTCTTCCTGTTGATATTGCAGAGCCCAGCACTTGATAACAACTTTACGTTGTTTCTTTTTAAACAAAAAACAAAAAACCCTAAGCGCTTGTGTCCCTGTCCTTCCAGGCAGTCAGAAATGAGGGTGCCAGTGTGGTGGTGCACTGCTCCGATGGCTGGGATCGCACGGCCCAAGTCTGCTCTCTAGCTTGCCTCCTTCTGGATCCCTTTTATCGGACGTTGAAAGGATTCATGGTAAGCAGAAAACCTTTCCGCTGGGTCCGCTTTTTTAAGGGCTTCACCCTGTCAGGCCTGCCCCAGTCTGATCGCTTAGGAAAGAAAGACCCTCAACTTCCTTTGATTGAAGAGAAAGATCCTCAGCCAGTCGGAAGTTGCCGAAGTATTTTGAGAACGCTTTGGGGTAACCCACATTCTTTCTCAGGGTACCTTGCCTTGGATGCTGGTATACAAACTGGGGCTGAGCTTCAGTCATTCCCCCTCCCTATTTCTCATCACGTACAGCCAGGGGTGTCCAACCTTGGCAACTTTAAGACTTGTGGACTTCAACTCCCAGAATT